CTAAATCTCCCATTTTATTTTGAAACCATTTCCCCTTGTCCCATCACAACAGACACCGCTAAAGAGTCTGTCCCCTTCTTTTCTATAGTTCCCTTTTAGATAGGGAAAAGCTATTTCAGATCACCTCAGAGCCTTTTCTTCTCCAGGTTGAACAGCCCCAGCTTTCTCAGCCTATCCTCGTAGGAGAGGTGTTCCATCCCTTGGGTCTGTGATCCTCCTCTGGACATGCTCCGATAGATCCACGTCTCTCCTGTACTGAGGACTCCACAACTGGACACAGTACTCCAGGTGAGGCCTCAGCAGTGCAGAACCCAGGGGCATGATCACCTCCCTTGATCTGCTGGCCATGTTACTTTTGATACAGCCCAGAATATGGTTGCTTTCTGGGCTGTGAGGGTACATTGCTGGCTTATGTCCAGCTTGCCATCCACCAGTAGGCTGTATTGGATAACTGCAGGATGCAGACTCCACACTGCAGACTCTGGTCTTGATATGATAGGGTTTAAAATGGTCTGTTAATTATCTGGGAAAAAGGTGTCACATATTTCAAAGGAGAAGAAACTGCCTCTGTTTCCTTTCATGCATCTTCAGGAAGTGTTTGCTGAACACATATTAGTAGGAATATGATATTTCTGATTCAAAGTTGTTTGAAACTGCCATTTTGCTTCAATAGATGGGTGGAACATATAAATAGATAACATGGTACATATAAAGTATACAACATTCTGCATATAGAAGCAAGATACATTGCAATTGCTAATTGATAGTGTATTAAAATACAATGATTGCATATTTATCTCAGCTTAGAGCTTACAAGAGATAGCATGTTGCTAACGTGTATCTTTCCCAGATCAAGTTACAAACTCCAAGATCTGCTGCACTGACTTTGCACAGAAGGGCACATGCTGTGTGCATGTGCATCCTTTTCACAGCTGACAGTGTTTGAAGCAAACTATATGCATGTAGAAAATGTATGCACACATTGTATTGCACATTGAAGCACTGAGACGTGCACCCTACCATACGTTACATGTGTTATATGTGTGGTACCTACACCAAATGTTTTGGAGAAGGTCAGTGCTTTTGCCCATACAGTCCCCAAACAATGGGAACATGCAGGAAGTTGTGTTTCTTGAGTTGGAGGGGACCCTAAGGATCATCAGGTCCAAATGTGCTTTCCTGCATGCTATAGACTTCCACTACCAATCCTCTCTTCTTTGCTGGCAAATATTTCTAAGGTGAAAGTGGTGCATACTGGTTGTGGCTGCAATGTGGTGCATGGTACAACATGAAGGATACGTACAGTTCACTGTGCACCATGCACATAATGCTGAGACTGCGCACTGTGCACCTCAATGATCACATACACATGAACATACACATAATTTCCTCTGAGCACCTCATGCACTATGCATACCATGTGCTCTAAGCACTGGATGCACCACATACGTCATGTCCTGTGATCATCCCATGCACCATGCACAGCATGCACTGTGCACCTTCAGCACCAAATCACAGATATAATTTCCTCTGCGTGCACCCTGTGCAGTACATGTATCATGTTCCCTGTGGCACCCCTTCCACCATATGCATCACATAATCTGGGCACCAGTGCACCACACAGACCATGCACTCGGCACCATGCCCATCATGCACACAGTGCATAGTGTACCCCATGCACACCGAGCAGAGTACCCTGTGCACCATACACAATGCACTAAGCAACCCAAGCAACATGCACACCATGCATTCTAAGCACCCTGTGCACTCTGAGCATTCCATGCACCAAATGCATGCTGCACTCCATGCACTGTGCACACCATGCACTCCTAGCAACCTGTGCACACTATGCAGAGTGCACTCTATGCACCACATACACTGAGCACACACAGTACCCTGTGCACCATGCACATTATACACACCATAGAACCACAGAATTGCTCAGGTTGAAAAAGACCTTAAAGATCATCAAGTCCAACCACGACCTAACCATACTACTCTAACTCTAACAACCCTCTGCTAAATCATGTCCCTGAGCACCACATGCAAAGGGATTTTAAACACATCGAGGGATGGTGACTCAACCACCTCCCTGGGGAGCTACCACTGAGCCCCCGGTGCATTATGCTCACCTTGCACTCTGAGCACCCCTCACACCGTGCCCTCCAGGCATCACACCCACCATGTACCACGCACACCATACACACTGTATGCTGAGCACAGTGCACCTTATGCACCACATCCACCACGGACAGCACACCATGCACATAAAAACAGAATGAATCACAGAATGGTTTGGGTTGGAAGGGACCTTTAAGATCATACAGTTCCAATCCCCTGCTATAGGCAGGGACACGTTCCTCGAGACCATGTTGCTCACAGCCCCATCCAGCCTGGCCTTGAATGCTCCCAGGTAGGGGGCATCCACAGCCCTGTTCCAGTATCTCACCATTCTCACAGTAAAAAACTGCTTCCCAATATCTAATCTAAATCTACCCTCTTCCAGTTTAAAGCCATTTCCCCTCGTCCTGTCGCTACCTGCCCTTATAAAAAGTCCCTCCCCAGCTTTCCTGCTCATAACACAGGAACACAGTTAATAACCCCGAGCACCCCGTGCCCGTACCCACCGCGCACCGCACTCCCGGCGCACCTCGCGCACTCGGGCCGCGCGCCGCGGGCAGCGGTGGGCGGGGCGGAGCCGCCTCTTCCCGCGCTGATTGGACCGTGCAGGAGGCGGCTCCTTCCGATCCTGCGGCGCGTGCGTGCGTGCGTGCGTGCGCGCATGCGTTCGTACGTGCGTGCGTGCGAAAGGCGGGGACGGGGTGAGGAGCAGCGCGCGCGCGAGGTGTAAGATGGGGGGGGCGGGGATTGGTTGCCATGGCAGTGACGTCAAAGAGTGCCGGGGACGGGGAGCGGAGACACGGAAAAGGTCAAACTAAAGGCGAGGAGGAGACGCGGCCGGGACGCGGATCTCCGGGCGGCTCGGACAGGGCCGGGCCGCAGCCGGCCTCGTGAACCGGGGCGGCGGCGGCCGCGGGCGGCGGGGCGCCGTGGGCGGGCAGGGCCGGGCGGGGCGAGGCCGCCGCTCCTCGCCCCCCGGGTACGGCCGTCCCCCGCCGCATCCCCTCGCAGGTACGGGGAAGCGCTGAGGCGGACCGCCGCCCGGCCGAGCCGGGCCTGCGGCCCCGCACGGGAGCCGGGGGGTGGGCGGAGGGTCGGCGGCCCCCGGCGGTGGCGCGGAGAGATGGGGAAGGGGCTGCCCGCCGCCGCCGCTCCGTTGGGCGTGGGGGTCTTCGGGCCCCGCGCTCCTCCCCGCGACCTCCCCGGGCTGGGGGAGCCGCGGCCCGCCGCTCTGTGCTCTCCTGGGGCCGCCCCGCACCCACAGCCCGCTGAGCTTGGAGGGCAGCGGGGGTTTGGGAATCTTTCTTCTGTCTGTGGGGATTATTATTATTTTTCTATAGGCTGACAGGAGTTATTCCCCCTCCTCCCCCCCCTCCCTCTGCCCCCAGCTTTGCATAACTCTCCTGCTGTCCCTGCCTCCCTGCACTTTGCCCTCGCCCGGTGGTCTGTACCATGATGGAGTAAAATTGTGAAGGACTCTTTATTTTTTTTGTTTAGCGAAAGAGCTGTATCACAGACAAGCAGGCTGACTAATGTTATATATTCTTACAAACATATATCCTTTTTTTCTTTTTTCTTTTTTCTTTTTTTTTTTTTTCCCCCACAGTGCTGGAATAGGGTTCAGTGCTCTTTTATGCCCCAGGGCACGGCTCTCTCTAGCAAACCCTGGAGCGAAGCTGCTATCAGCGTGTGGAGACTTGAGTGCCACCGACAGTCTGTTGTCTCTTCGTGTTCAGAGAGTTGGAGAGGGACAGGAGTGACTCAGTAATAGGAACTATTAGTTGCACTGAGGCAAAACCAGGTGAAGTTATTACTTGGTTACTCTGTGACCTTGGGTCATTTTTCTGCATCGTTTTTCTGTTTGCTTATGAATCAGAAATAGTAATGCTTTCCAAAAACATGCTGTGAATAAACATTAATGAGTCTGAAAGCTTATCAGCTGTAGTAATAACAGGTAGATAGTTATGTTATTTCTCTATAATAGCACGGATGGTGCAGCCAGGATTGTTTTGCTTGCAAGCTCTGCCTGTGGTAGTAACTTTGCACAGAAGTAGTCTCTTGCTTTAAAAGACATTTTATAACTCCTGATACTGTGTGATGTGCAATGTTACAATCATAGAATCGTGGAATGGCTCAGGTGAGATGGGACCTTAAAGATATTGAGTTCCAACTTAATGCTGCGAGCAGTGTTAAGTCATATTTCGTATTTTTATGCAGAAAGTTCTCTAATAGGCTTTTAAATGATCACCATTCCACAATGCAAACAGTTTGGTGTTTTTCCTCCTGTTTTCTTAAAACAGCACCAGTACTGCTAAGGAAACCTTGTGAATTTCTAATGTGTCTGGTTGTCTCTGGGCAAGGTGATAGATTGAGGCTTTTGATATAGAATTGGAAGAGAGACATTCCAGTATATCTGCTCACATCTTGGCATGATCAAGAAATTACTTGGAACTGGTTTGTAGCTCACTATGCCACCACACAGCGATACTTGCCAGGGTTCAGCAGTAGTGTTTATGAGGTGCTGTCTTGAAGTGCCTCAGTATTTACAAGAAAATACCGAAGCAGGTGACAGTAAGTTCATTACAACAAGCTGAGCAGTTGAGGAAACAGTATTTTTATTCTCACATTATAGGGTGATCTGTGTAGAAAATCAAATGCCTTAAGTGTGCCATTGGCAAACACATTCACTGGAGGAATCTGAAAACTCTGTAGGAGTTGCCTGGAGTGCTCTCGAGAGCAGTGCTGCCACTGCCATAGCAGGTGAGCTGGAACTGCTGCTCTCAGGAGTGCTGAGCAGAGTTGGCTGAGTTTTCCTCTGCAGTTTTGCTTTATGCAAATTGGAGCAGGTAGCTTGGTCGTTTAGTGTTTGATGATTTTGGGTTTTTTTTTGTTTGTTTTTCTGATCTATTCTGGAATGATACACCACAGAGGAGCACTGACTGCCTTGTATCTTTAAGTTTTGCTTCTGAGAGTAATTTGTTCTGTAGTTTATCACTTGTCTGCTCGAGTTTGTTTGGAACTTCCATAATGCTAAATAGGACAACTGTTCTGTGTGAAGAGGAGGTGAGCACAACAGAAGACTTTTGTCTTCGGTTTTAACAACAAAACTGAAAGTTCCTCTGGCAAAATGGCAATTCATTGTTAATTCATGAGATGTAGGTGCCCTGGAAAAATCAAATACCAGTTTCGTAGCTACCCTTAGGCATCTCTAATTTATGCAAGCAGGGCTCGTTGAGTAACTACTGAGTCTCGTTGACCTTAGTAGGTTTGCAGAGGTCATATTTTAAGACAGATAAGTTATGCTTGAACTATTTTCTCAGTAAGTACTAGGAGCAAGTGTTTGTGTACATAATTACGTGCTTTTTTCCAATCCTCCATTACATTTTCTGTTTTTCTTTAGATTCTTGCTTGTAAGTACTACAGTAAATCCCAGAGTCTCTTTTGTTTGTGTTTTTTTCTTAATCTGTCATCTTAATATTAGTAAGAAACGTGAGTTTTTGAGGACAGCTTCTTTTTGGGGGTCTCAGTAAAGTGGTAGAAACAGAGGTTTCACAGACTGCCAGAAAGGCAGCTGTATGATCAGGGGAACTCAGGGTGTGGGAAGCCAGAACAACCCAAACGTGTGTGAGTGACATCAGCATTTTTCTGAGCCGTTTATGCTGCTCACTTCTGTCGGTTCCCAGCAGTGCCTGTGTCTTATGTAAGCTCACACTGTACATCCTGTCCTGCTGTTCTCATGCATGAAAATCATTGGCGTTATCTTACTGTACATTTTGAGAGCTGAGCAGTTGCTGGCTACTTGTTGTCTCAAATGTCTGCATGCAAGTCTCTCACAAGCGTGCTGGAGAGAGCTATGCCAAGAGCATGGTGCTGTCCTCCTAGGAGACATCAGAGGGATAACTTGGAGTGAACGCAGCTCGTCCTCTGCTCTTTCTTATAATAGGCACTATGAAGTAATGCAGCTACAGAAGTAATTGTACTGCTATAGACAGAAGTCCTGATCTGTATCACGCGCAGATGGACCACTAATGCAGTTTCGATGGCTGGTGATAAAACAGACATAGAAAACAAAGAACGGTGGTTTCAGCAGAAGCTTTAATAACGTTAGGACTGGAAAAGAGAGGCTTTTATATACTCTTACTGTGCACTGCTTGTTACAGGTCTTGGAAGGAAACTGTGCCTTCAGGTGAACTGATGCTTTACCCTTGTTCCTGTAGTTAGCATTTAGTGATGCATAATAATGAAGGCACTGTCACTGGATGGGTGAAATTGGAGCAAATCTTCAGAAACAAATATTCCCTCTATTTTTTTTTTCTTGCTAAATCTATCTGTAATCATCAGTCATAAAATCCTGCAGTAATGTGATATCTGTTAATGCAGAGTAAGTTGGCCGCCTTCTTTAAATGCTGCCCAGTGCTTCAGTTATGAAGCAAAGCTACCTCTACTTCTTAAATACTCTTGTGTCTTCTGTTTGTGCTCCTCCAGTATGAAGGAAACAAGTTTCTGCTCCTCTGCTCTGGTGAATGCACTTGTGTGGCACTGTGGCTTGTTTTGGGGGAGCTGCATTTGTAGGTCTGTAGAGTTTGTTACAAGCACTGATGGGAAAGGCTGACAGGCAGGAGAAATGTACCTGAGTAGAAGTGCATTTGTGGAAAGGCCTTGAAAGATTCCTTCATTCCTTCCTTCGGGCTTTCCAGTGTGATCTTCCGTGCTGCATGAAACAATTCCTCATTGTGCTGGAGTGTAAGACTTAACAAGGGAACTGGCCATTTGAAGAGGAACAGGTGCAATGCTCTGATGCTCAGAAGCTAAACAAATTCCTGAGTGAGCAGATCTTGCAGAGTTTAAGAAAATTTATTGGCAAAACATCTAAGAAGCACTTGAGTTTTCGTTTTGAGTAGGGAATTGAATGATCTGTGCTGCCTTTATCACAAATCTAGGAGTGCAGTGGCTCTTTAGTGCTTTTTGTTACTTTTTTGAGGATATGAAAATATATTTTAAAAGCATATGCAGGAAGATGGACTTGCAGCAGCCATAAAAACTTGTAAGAAAGCACCTGCACGTTGTGCATCTGGGATTCCGTGGCATTATATTTTATTGCTCTGTGGATACTTACGTGACTATCAGAATGCATATCTATGTTGTCCATATTCAATAGCCTTTTCATTTTGTTCATGTGGACAGAATCTATTCAGGATGCTTAAATCTGCTAAAATATTTATAAGAAAGTTGGCCCTTGGAGCATGTTTCCCACAGGATGCAGTGGGTGTCAGGGCTAAAGGTCAGTGCAGACAAAGTAAAGTGAAGGCTCTTTTGGATTTATTTTCCTTCTTTTTTCTTTCTTTTTTCTTTTGAAAGAAAATTCTCTCTGTAAAGAAGCATGGAACTTTTCTTTGCAACTTCCTAAGTTTCCATATACTAAGAAGAGGGAATGGACCTGTAAATACTTAAGTCTTTTATTGAAACTTTTCTCCCTTTCTTTAGGAGAGCAGAAAAGAAAAAATAAAAGCGACAACCCCAAATCAGTGCAGTTAATATATTCATGGACTCTGAGCATGGAAGTTCCTGGTGTAAATGAAAAAAGCCAGATGGAGTTTTAAGTGACTGTCATGTACAACTTAAGAAATGCACATTCCTGATACTAATAAAAGGGCCAGATTGGAGCTACATAATTAATCCCAGTGTCCTTTTCAACACATGATAAGATTTGGCTACAGCAGTCGTAGAGCTAATGGAGACAACTGTCAGGTTGTACAAAGCAGTGGATTGTTTGCCTAAAATAAAAATACCTACGTGATTATTCTTGTACATATATTTGTATCTGCTGGTGATCAGTACTCATGTCCCAGTTCAAACGGAAGATAAAGGGAGCTGATTTGCTCTTGAATCTCCTTTTTGTCTTAAGTATCTATATAAATATATATGTGGGATATGTCTGTAAATAAATTATCCCTATTAAATATATATTTAAGATGGGAAGTAAATGTTTTTTGTTATTTTCTTTAGGAATTAGATAGCAGAACTTGCTCTCCTTTGGAGTTCATTTGAAATGTATTGACTGATGAATGCCAAGGAGCAGTTCTGCAGTTATGTTTATTCACTGTTTGTATCAGTGACCTGGAAGAAGTGTGCAGGAAGGGGCTAAAGCAAAAACGCTTCTGAGATGGCACAAAGTGTGTGTTGGAGGCAGACAGGAGGAAGAGTGGGCAGATGGCAGTCAGAACAAAACAGGTGAATAATCAGATTGGGAACAAGCTGAGTAGACTGTGCAAGCATGTGTGGTATTTGCAATTTTGGTTTAGTTACTGTGATAGGGATTTAATTATTTTATGATCTATGCAAAAGAACGGTAAAAAAAACGTAAGCTTGCCCCATATGCAATGATGGAAGTGTGCTTACTGTTGTCTGAGGGGGCATTTGGGAGAAACAGAAAGGTCAGAGCCTTTGGGGCTGAGGGAACTTGAGGAAAAAGAAAAGAAAACAAAAACCACTTGTTTGGTGCTATCTCACCTGCAAGTTTATTCAGGTTGTTTTGTTGTTTGTAGCATGAGATGGTATTAATGCTCTAAAACCTTACTGCGTGGATGATACAGATATTCTGTGTCATGAGAGATTTTGCTGAAAGAAACTAGAGATAGCAAGATGTGTTTGTGATACTTCAACTAGATAAAAGAAGTTCCGTAACTGGTTTGAAAACTTTCTAGACTAGACAGCTACCCATTGTGTAGCTCTGATCTCTTCCAGATTGTAGCTTGGAGGCAGTACTGGGATGATGAAGAAAAAAGGGATTGCAGTGATGAGTGATTGATCCCTTAACCCTTAGCATCGTGGTAGGTGTTACACTGCAAGAAAATCCACAGGTAGAAATGCTATTCCCTCTCACTTTGCTTAAGGAAATACAATTATAACAAAGTGATATCCTGTAATGAAGACTATCACCTGTAAGAAATCCATTGAGATAATATTGATGAGCCTAGCAGTAGCTTGTCAAATCAATCTTTGTATATGTCTCTCAAAATATTCTTTGTTTCTTTTTTAGGGAGTTCAGTAACTTGGGAAAGCAGTGAGCTGCTCTAACTGGAGAACACTCTTCTAACCCTAAAGGGGAACTGCTTTGTCTGAGGTAGCACTTAATGAGCAGAAGCACAACCCATCTTGCAGTTCAAAACTTACTTGGTACATGTGAAACTGCTATCCTTGAAATTACTCTTCCATAATATCAGTTTGCTCCTTGTATACTGTCATCTTAAAATACCTCAGTCTGAGGTGAAGTGTTCTACTGTATGAGGAGGTTGAGGGAATTAAGGCTGTATTTCTGCAGAACTGAAGGCTAGAAAGATAAAGGAAAAAGATTAACATATTCACAAGGAGTGCTTTAGATAAGATTTCTTCCTGTCTGAGGACACACTGAATCCTGTGGGAATGAGGCAGCTATACTACAAAAACACACTTCAATTCTAATGTTTCATACTGAATCATTGCTATGTTATAAGTGGTATTAATGGAATTTATAAAAAATTAGCATTTACATTAAAAAAAAAAAAAAAAAAAAACAGAAATAAGTTCACCCAAAACATCCTTTTGCTGTGTAAGAGCTGTGTGGAGAATGAACGAACACTTGAAGCTTAACATGAGTATAATAAATCAAAATGCCAAATGAAGCTCAGAGGGCTTCCTTCATCTATTCACTTCATTGTTTCCTTTGCAGATACAGCACAGCTCAGCCAAATGCAGGGTTGTCATTGTTCTGATGTTCAAAGTGTTTCTAAATGTTCTTCAAGATGGAGCTTTCCTTTTCCATTGTCTTGTACTGTTTATTAATTGTTCAGTGCATTACACTGAGCATTTTTATAAGCAGAAGTCATGGTTTAAGTCATCAGTTTGGAGTATTTTGTGAGGTGCATTGTGAGCTGTTGATAACCCACAGAAAAAGCTCAAATTTGTACCTTCTGGAAACTGCTGTTTCCCAAAGCTGATGCTTGGCAACAGAAGATGCCCTGCTGACCCTCTGCAGCTTGGCAGAAAGCGTTCCTGAGTGCGTGAGCTTCCAAAGCTTATATCCCAAGGTACAGACTGCTCAGGGCTGCTGGCTGGCACAGTGCATTTCCATCAGTGTAAAATGGAGGTCACAGTTCAGTAAAGTATAATTTGGAAAAAGATGTTAAAAGTAGAACAGATTAAAAACTCAGTTTTGGCATTTAAGCAAGTGATGACCTGTCTAGATAGTGAGCTGCTGTTACCTGGGATTTCTGAGATGTAGCTCAGCTATTGAACCTGGAGAGGCTGTGTTTGCAGCAGTAGTCTCATGTCAGCTTTAGCTTTGATTACCTTTTGGTTAAGTATTTAAAGTTAAGATTGCTGTGAATTCTTCATCACAGTTTATGTGTTTGTTTTCTCTTGTACTTTCTTTGTGGTCACAAAAGCTGCTTGTTGTTCAAGGCTTTTCCTAGAGATGGGCATCTTTGTGCCTAATCACAGAATGGCCCCGGTTGGAAGGGACCTCAAGGATCATGAATCTCCAACCCCCCCTGCCACAGGCAATGCCACCAACCTCCATATCTGATAGTAGACCAGGCTGCGTGGGGCCTCATCCATCCTGGCCTTTAACACCACCAGGGATGGGGCATCTAAAGTGCCTGAAGGCTGTTGCTTTTTCTTTATATTAACTCTGCTGAATCATTGCTTTGAACATATTTTTACAACCTGCTCATCTACACTAGTGTAATGTGTTCTGCTAACCTCATGTTTTCTGAGAGTATTTTCAGATACTGGTATAAACCACATATGATATATATTAGCACTGCTGGTAAAATTTGATAACTGATCTGATCGTATATAGACTGTGCTTGCGAATGAATGTATTTTTCTCATTGTTTCCCCTCAATCTATTGCTTTTGGAGGTTTGGTAAATAATTATTTTAGAGATTTCATAGAATCATAGAATTGCTTGGCTTGGAAGGGACCTCAAGGATCATCAAGCTCCAACCCCCCTGCTGCAGGCAGGGCTGCCAGCCTCCTTATCTAATATTAGACCAGGTTGCCCAGGGCCCTATCCAACCTGGCCGTGAACACTCCAGGGATGTGGCATCTACAACCTCTCTGGGCAGATTTAACTAGTAAAGCTTCTTCATTTACTTCTAGAAGGATAACTAAACGTTTTTTCCATCAAATTAGTTTAAGACAAGAAACTTTGCAGTGAACTCATTTCCAATACTAGTTTTGGAGTATAAATTATCCCAACACAGTGATTTCCAGAATTTGTTTTCTTAGGTTCTCTTGTCTTCACTCTCAGATTTCTCTGTAGACCAAGGACACCATTCTTTTAATACAGCGCTTTGCTGAGGAGAACTAAGCTGTGTGCTGATGCCCCAGGCACACTGGGGTACATTCAGGTCACTGGAACACTGGGATGTTCTGGTATTCGGGAAGGCAGTTCTGCAACTTGTCCCTCATTTGTTCTTTGTCAAGGGAGCAGTACTATAAGGAAATATCAAGGGAAGTTAAGGTGACTCCTAGAGGTTCATGGAAGGTTGGTATGCTGTATCTGTAGGGTTTTTAGTAAAACCAACAACTAAACAGCTTGCAAAGTTCAACACTTGAATCAGCTGTGAGATAGGACAGATTCTTTCCACCAGGTTATTTGTGATATAAGAATACTGGCATCATCATACAACCAAACCTCTTCTGTAGAGGTTTGGTTAATCATCTGTTAATCATCAATTGTACTGCACCAAAAGAACGTTTTCCCAAGTTAGCTCTTTATGAAGAAAAGGTCAGTGGTAGTTTTATGTCCTTTTGTTGATACATTATTAATGTACTATTGTCGAAGTCTACTTAATAGTGTGAGTAGTTCATAGTATGCTGATAACACAAACTATCTGTCAGCTTCAGTCATTTCCTCGACCCACTGTAACAGCAGAATTTATTTTACTTGTCTTGGTAATGCTTGTGCAGTTAGGAGTTCCAGATCACTGGAGACTGAAGTACTGCGATACACAGATTATTGATAACTTGGATCTTTTCTGTCTTTTAAGCTGTATGTGGAGGATGGAATTTGTTTGGGGAATCCTACTTTTAAATAGAAGAGTATCAAGTTGGGTGTAGAAGGACTAAATGTGAGATTGTTTGCATATGGAAAAGATGTTTGATGGCAAATACAGCCAACTAAGGCTAATTTTCTTGCACTTAATTGGAGCGTAAGATAGTTGACTGTGGGACTCTGTGAAGACAATGAGTTTTGGTCTGTTCCTGATGCTGAAGTATATTTTATACAATAACTGGAATTTGGTATTTGCAGCCTTTTCTTAAGTGTACCTTTATAGGTCACGCTGTGCAACTGAACTTCTGCTTCACTATTTCTCCAGAACACGTGTTGTAGAAATGATAGGGTTCATGCTCATTATTCTGCTGCTGGTTACATTTGAATTCTTCAAATTGAGAGGCAGATCACAAACTCTACATGAAATTGACCTTTTAAAACTTATTTCCTAGAGTAGTTTCTTGATGTTTCTACTACTTTTCCATTGAGTTTTATGGTTTCCACAGGTTGCTGCTTGAGGTGCAACAGTTCTGTAAAACCAAGTGGGAATTTGTAGCTGGTTACTAAAAATGAAGAATAAAAGCAATGGGTTTGTCTGAACTAAGCATGACAGGAGTCCTATGAGAAGGTTTTTTGGTTTTCTTATAGGCACATTATTGTTGTTCATATGTAAATATGTAGGAATGAGTTGGTATGGTTAAAGTTACTTCTTGTAGTTTGTTTTCTTCCTGGTTATGTGGTTCATTTATGTTGGAGAGAGTCCTTCCTTTTAATGCGTTTTTGTTCTCTAGGAAAGTGCACTTTAAATCTAGATAAGACCTAATTTATCATGTAGAACCTCGAGACTTAATGATGTTTCTGTGTGGGAGCCCCTCTCTGGGTTTGGCTTGAATCTTGTGCGCGGACTTTACCACAGACCTGTACCCTTCACCTAATGAAGTAATTGTTGTTTGTCTGTTAATAACCAGCCACCTTGGTTAGTGGATTTTTGCAAATAATTTTTAGGAATTCCATTGCTCAGAAATCTGTTGCACTGCCAAGTTCTCCAAGGGAGGTTTTGTCTTAGGTGCTGTAGATGCTTTGGAATACTGAGGAACGTTTCTGTTTGGTTTTGTGTTGTTTTGGTTTGCCTTCTGCCTCTCTTTAAGGTCAGAACGCTTTCTGATCTGATCTGTACTATCTGCATACCAGCAGGTGGAGCATTGGTAGCATAAGATGAGCTACTGTCTCTTAGTTCAGGTGTCTGGGAGGAAAATAGTGATCTCCCTGGAGGTGGAAGCTGCTGATGTGTTTAGCATGAACATGTAGCATTAACGAAAAATGTTGAAGGACAATTTTCAGACTTGCAGGAGGGGTGAACTTGGATGCAGGGAGCGAAAGGCAGCTTGGTGTTTCTCTGCTTTTTTCAAATGCCAGTTACCTGCTGCGAGGCGTGGAAGTACTGAAGCTACATCTAAATGACTGTGAAGCTTTTAAGGGAACAGAATTTTGTCAAGTTTGTGGGGGGCTTTGTTTGCTGCAGAGTGAGAAGAGGTTCATGTTGTGGTTTTGCAATTCACCTGCATTGATTTGAAGTTGTGTTGCCACCAAAACAGACAGTCCTGCCCTACACAGTTGCTTCCTGCCAGTGCCAGGAACTGCCCTGCCATCCAGTAACTGAGACCACCTGCCTGCAGAAAACTGATCTTTTTTTTTTCCTGTCACCAGGATTAGTTTGCAGCTAAATATAGTGTTTGGTCCCAGTAACCTGTATCATATTTTTATCAAACTCCTGTAAGGATGGAGGAAGCAAGAATCCTTCAGCCAGAAGTGAGGGCAAGCAGGACTACTGTTCTGCTACCCTACTCTTAATATGATCAATCTAAATCACCCTGAAATCACTGTGCAAGTGCCACAGCAGTCTTTTCATGTCTTTGGAAAAGTCCCTTATGATAATGATGCCAGCCTAATGATAATGATAGTAAACAAGGTTTAATATCTCTGAGTGAAGTTCATATTACAGAGTTGTCTTTTGCAGTGTGACCAAGATCTCGACTGCATGGAATTTTTGCATTCATACGTTACTCTGTATTTTTAAGACATGC